ACCAATTTTTTGACTCGTTCTTCAATCGAGGACCATCATGACATCAAGCTTTAGTACCTATCTGTACCACGCCTTTGATGACAGACTACTTCCGACAGTACCGTTTGGGATGGCTGTCATTGCAATCATATCGGATGAGAACATTCTGTGGCATCGTACCCATACGAATATTAGCAACCAAAACTGTAGTCAATTCCTCCAAATGGCTGTAAATGTCTACCAAATGAGCGGCAACCTGGTAAGCTTACGTGTGGTCTTACATCTTTTCGTTGCCCTTTCCATCTTCCTAGACTGTCAACACATAAGTACTTTTTTCGCTTCAGACATAATTCTCTGTTCACAACTCTCGCCTCAGGAGTAGACAAGTATACGCCGCGCTTAGTCTAATTCTATTTTACCATCCTATCAAAACAAAAATACACAAACAAAGTCACAAAAAATCTCAGAAATGAGAACTGAGAAAAATGGCAAAAGCTTGCCTCCCATCACGAGGGGCGGGAGGGAAAACTCCAAAGATAGGGGGTTTCAGAGAACCCGGTGTGATACTCCCAATCGCTACGCCATTGCGCCGGTATCCTTCACTTCTCGATTTAGCGTGTTTGTCGAGGAGAAAGCTATCGTGTTAGAGGTTACATCGGAGAGAATTTGTTGATTTAGTAACTGGCAAGGGTAACAATTTGTTTGGGAGCATAGGGTGGAACCTTTTGAAGTGCAGGTTTCTATTTGGACGGTTTCGGCATTCAAGCCGATGAGTACTAATACAAGTCTCAGCACATTCACCGGCAAGACATCAGATACACTGTAGATGAGCCCATTTCAATACCATGTGCGCCGCCTTTCAGACACCCCTCTGATATCTTTCTTTGTTTCAACCGCTACCAGTAAAACAACTCTATAGGTTCTTGGTATAAACTGCGGTCTCCGGACTGATTTTTTCCTGTTTGACGACACTGATTCTTCTGGCAACTTTCGTTACCAATGCTTCGCGCATGTTTCGAGAGGTGTTGTGGTTGCTGTCCGGATTTTGGTATCACATGAATGGTAATTTTGACGTCTTCATAATGACATTGAAATAGTTGAAATATAAAAGTGCCCGGTCCTTCTGTAAATAAAATTGGGGGATATTGAGAAGATGGCCATCGATGATAATAAAATATCGCTAGCTAGCTATCTTGAATGTCATTTTGAGAGTTTATTATTGTGTTATACCTCTGTGCCTTTCCAAATTTCTGCATTATCCTCTTTGATTGTTGCCGAAAGTTAACCGTCGGTTCAAAAGAAATCCCGCTCCATCATTCACAAATAATTCTTGACATAAAAACCAGCTGCTCCGTCTGATCTCTAAACTAAAGTGACATCATCGCATCTACTTTCTACCCATTCCTCACCATCCATCATTCCATTTATGTAGCAATTCCCTATCAATTCCCATTTCGATGCTTTACCTTGCTCGTTCTGCATAGCATCCGGGCTCTCATCTGGAGATGTCGTTTCTATATTCTTAATCTCAAGAATAGTTTTCATGACTTCCAACATCAAATCTTGTTCTGTTACTTGCTTTGGTGGCCCCTCTTCCACCTCGCGTTCTTTCCCTTTCCACTCTTTTTCCCTGAGCACAAATGGCATGCATCCGCCTCGAAACAGGAAAATACGGTCTCCGATAGCTGCAGTTGCTGGTGCAAGTCCAACCTTTCCCTTATCTGTCACAATTATCTCTCTGTTCTCGCAATTCATGGCGGAGAACGCTAGATCTCGTGACGCCGATTTGTGCTCTTCCAGCAATCGTCCCGACATGAATTTTCGTTCTTCTTCGCTCTCTGCTTCCATTATGATCTGTATAACTTTTTCAAATCTGTTTATTCGATCTGAGCTCAGCTGGGTACGCCCTAAAATTGTTTCGTAAAAAATCCTTTCGAGCTCCTCTGCAGTAACAACGTCTCCAAGGATTTCGGTGATAAACTCCTTCCACTTGAGATAGGAAGGTATGTCTTCGCCATACCCATATATTAGCAGAGATTGAGAGATATGGCGGATGGTTTCGACTTGATATCCCTCAAGCCGGATTTCAGTACCACTCATTTCAGGAGGTCCACTAAGTTGCGAATCGCATGTTGCGGAGTATTGAGTACGTATGTCGTATCTCCCGATCAATACATCGGATACGGTCCAATCAATTACCCAGGAAGGAAGTCCATAGGTGTTTGCTAGAGAATGGTCAATCTCTATAAGCAAATCCAGATCAGTTCCATCATATAGTAATCTCTGCATTGTCATGGTGTAGACTCTCGCGATATCCATGTTATAGTCAGCGTGCAGGCTTTGCTCTTCACTGGGACTCTCATGTGGAGTCGATTGAGTGCCATTACCAGGTAGTCGAATTGAGTCAATGGGGTTCGAGTGACGCATCTTTCTCCTTAAGTCATTTCCTTGTGAGCGACGATTGTTTACTGATTCAAGGAGGGGCGAAGAATCCTGCTCTCTCCTCAATTCGCTTCCTTCTAATACAAAATTTATACCATATGCAGAACAATACTTCGTATACGCTTCTTTCGCACGCAGAAATGCCTTCAACACACGGAACGACATACTATAATCTTTTTCAGAAAGATCTTTCAGCGGAGTCTTTAAGAATTTGTCGGAGAACTCGTCCAGATCGTATGATTTCTCCATATATCTTGCCCATAGGTCTGCTGCGCGTAAGGGTACAGTAATTTCTCCTTGATCAAAATCCATGCTCAAAAGCGCAAATATATTGTCTCTCGGATCTGTAGCGCCTCGACCCCTGAATGCCAATAAGAGCTTGTGTAGTGGTTGAATTTTTTCGCTCCTCATATCACTTAACTGCTTCAATCCACCCCAGTTTATATTTATATTTAGATTTCCATCGTCGAACGATACCCAGCTGCTTGAACCCATCACAAATTTTCCGAGCTCAACCATCTCGTCCCAGTCCCACTCCTCATCTCCACAGAAAACCATGACTTCTTTCGGGAATGTAATTTCCTGAATAACCCACACTCTATTCCACCATGGAGCAGTCATGATGTCATTCACTGTTTCCCATGCAGAATCATCTATATCTAGAAGCCCAAGGCTTTCCCAAAAGCGATACTTATCCTTAGGTGGCAGGTTTTTAATGTCGGATGCGCTCTTTAACTCTCTGCCCTTCCGTATCAGATCAAACATAGTGGTTACTGGTTTGGCATTCCTAAATTCCCCAAGCCAGACCAAACATCTTTCAGTCTTCTGATAGATTTCACGCATGAGTCGAACCTGCGTATTCTTCTCGTCGTTGTCGTTCTGATTGATACATATCGCGTCGATCCATATTCTTCTGTTGACATCCGTCTTCCTCAACTTTTGCATGGCGGCAAAAAGGTTGGTGGTGACATCAAATTTCTTTCCATTGACTGTGATTGGAACCTTGACACTGGCATCACCCCAACAATATGATAATGCTTCATATGGCTCCGATTCTCCCAACGTTGCATTGACCAGAGTGGTATTAATAGATGAATGAGAATAAGGTGAAGGAAGGATTTGTAAGACGCGTATATTGGAGTTCCCATTCGAAGAGACGGTTGGGATGGGGCTGTACTCAAAGTCTGGCAATGAGTTATGTGACATATCAATCTTTTCCATGATTAGGTTAAATATAACACGTTTGATAATGTACAGAAGTTCTCGAAAATATATGTTCCAGAAGCTTGCAGTGGTTGTAATTGTCGTTTCAATGTTTTCAATTGTATTTTGATGGGAAGCCCTGAAGAGAGATCCTTTTCTCGTGAGAGAAGGACAGAAAAAGTAAGACTGACTGAGCAGAATATCATGAAGTGGCCAAGGACAAAACTGGGGAAATGGCTGATAATTATCCAATTCATCAAAATATACTGCAATTCAAGAGCGTATATAAGTAGAACGTTTCAAGATTCGGGCTGTCCTCAGTGTCCACACTTGCAGATCCATGAGGTCTACAAGCTTGGTATGCTGTATATGCACCATTTTCGAGAGTGGCAAACACATGATTTACATCCCTGGGTACCTAGACCCCTATCTAGAAACCAATGCAAGTTCATAGATACATAAGGCTGACGATTGCGGAGCTTACCAGGGTTGGGATAAGTGTGAAGAAAAGTGACTGGACTCCTTCTGAGCCTCTTCAGATGACAACAACAAGCCACTAGATACCAAGCACGTTTCAAATATGGTACGATGTTGGGCGTTGTTGGCTCACTTCTAATACTCTGCAGTAAGGTTCAACTGGTATGGCATTTTGACGATAGCGGATGGGCGATGTAGAACCCCACTTTAGCGCAACATCCAACCTATTACAGAACTCATACTCCACGACGACTCCACGTCATACATATATTGCGATTTTAAGCTAGTTTGATGAGCCTTGATTGAGGGAAACATGAAGGCACATGACTTCCTAGACACTCTTCAGAATCGTCTGCGTCGTGATATACCATGTCATAACGTGGTTGGCGAGAACACTTGCTGCACATTTCTACCATGTCATCGTAAGCCTCTCTGCGTTCTGCCCTTCAATCTGCCTCGTCGTCTAACCTTGATAAGGGTCCAGAACAGGAAGAAATGCAGGGAGATGAACGAGGCTTGTTGGACAGGAAGCATTTCATGAACTCATGAAATTCTATTTTCAAGATCCTACCTTAAGTCACCCACCTACACAGAACAGAATCTATACACGCAATAGTAGGGCTCAGTTGAACACCAGCGTAAAAGAACTTGAGGCTTTGTCTTACTCTAAACAATAAAATTTGGAGATGTTCAACCAAAAATCCGAGGAATCGTGCAAAGAATATCATGCCTGTATCAGCATAAAGCACAACCTAAGCATCGAAATCGTATCTCGTGGAAACGTGAATGGTACCGCACTCCAAAAATAGCAGAAAGATTGCTTCCAAGACGGACGAAAGTTCAATATTGCAGAGTGTAGTATGATGTGGCTCTGCCGATATCGCATATTCTTTTCGAAGTACAGGTAATGTTGGATTGTAAATTAAATGTATGTTTGCTCACTAAAACTATCTACTAAGAAAGTAAGTAAAAGGAAACTTTCCGCGGAATCTGTACCGGCCTAACAGGCAAACCCCTCCTTCTCGTTTTCCATACCTGAGACATTGCTCCTATCCCTTTGCCTAACAATCAACTCTTTGACCTCAGGAAGTCCCTCCCACCCTCTTCCATTTCCTCCAAATCTAACACTTTTCTCCATGACCTCTCTCCACCTTAGTCCAGGTGCCAACTTTCCAGTAATAGTATTCGGTCTTCTTACGTCCGCATTTGTCGGGACTGGTAATGCTCTCCCTAACAATGCTTCCATTGCTTGCATCGCAAAGCCTACTGCTTTTCTAGCATTTAAAGGAATACCGGTTTTGTCAAAGCTGTCAAAATGGGCTCCTGGAAATTCGGCTTGAAGGTCTGAGATGAGGGGAGTGTGGGACATGCCGCGACCATCGACAGTTATATCAGCTGCGTTAACAGCGTCACGACCGGGACCAAAAAGAAGAATTTGCTGGGCAATACTGGCGGAGGTGAAGCGTGTAATGGTAGATATTGTATCGGCGGGCGAACAACCTCGATAAGCGCACATGCCTATGATTTTGAAAGCCATGGCGTCACCATAAATTTCTCTAGCTGTGGTTTTCGGTGGTCGTGTACTGAGATATTCATCATTGGTAAGAAGTTGCTCGACAACTTCATGGCAGATTGTACCGTGTAGGGAAGAGGATTGGTCCTTTTGAGGGTCGAGGCCAAAGTGACGATAAGCTGCATCAATCATACAAGTGCCTGGCCCTGTATCCCAATCGTACATTGCGTCAATCCCGCCCTTTTTATCCGACGGGATGAAACATATAGTTGTGATGCCTCCAATCGTTATGCAAATCTGTAATCTGGTAGGATGGTGCAGCAAAAGCCCGACCAAGTACGCAAATAAAGGAGCACCTTGTCTGCCGACAGCTTGCTCTGCCGTTCGATAGTCGGAAACAGTTGTGACACCTGTTTTTGCTGATATCACAGCCCCTTCTCCTAGGCACATGTTCGATCGATGTTGTCCCCGTGGTGGGGCCCCCGTTAAGGTAACGAGCTGTCCACCAGATCCAATTAGATCAATATCATCCACTGAAATTCTATGCTTATGTGCGAATATATGAATAGCGTTCGCAAAAGTATGTCCCATTTCTGCGTCCATTTGCGACAACATACTTGGCGGAGCGGCGTCTTCTCGTAACATCGACAGGATCTCGGATCGAATCTTCGACGGCATGACGACTGAATCATACTAGGGAAGATTAGCTTATTTTTTGGTAGAACGAATATTGCCATATACCTGAATAAGATCCAAGTGCAGTGGTGCTTCTGGTGACTCTTGTGTATAACGACAGAGAGCAAAATCAATGTCATCCATAGCAGTTCCAGACGTGATACCAAGAACCAATAGATTCAATCCCGCAGAATTTTGCACGCCATCATCTGAAGATGACGAGCTTGAGCTCTGGTAACCTCCATTTACTTTCGATTGTAAAGCCTCCAGATATCTATGCCCAACTTTTGTTCGAACTCGACCTTTTGGGGCCGGGATCAAACCATTCATAACCATGACCATGCCCACGACATCAGATCGAAATATTGGTTTGGGAACAGCCGCAGTCGGCTCTCAAATAGTATGGAGGGGATCAAGACCATATAAGTCTGCGAAGTAATTGATCTGTGAAGAATGCACATCCAAAACAATCAAGGTGTTTTGAAGTACAAAAGCACCGGGAAAGGCATGGTTTCTGTAGTCGAGCGTTGCATTGATCTAGGAATAGAAATGTTGGTGAAACTTTTAAGGTTAGTGGACTCATCAATCAAATAGCAAATATGGTGCAAGCATGACGTGGGATAGATCTTCCTTGTGTCGTTAAAATTGGTGAGAGGGAGAAATGTTCCTCATATGGAAATGTTATGCGTGGGCGTGAGGCCAAGGCTATGAGATTGTTCGCCTAAGGCAACTGGGTAGTGGAGAGTTGTCGCTGGTGAGCTCCAATGAGTACTCCCTGGTGGTGTTATTTAGGATGTGTTGTTCAACGGTATCAGACTCGTCAGTCAAGGTTACCACGATGCCCTGCTCTTCAAAAATAAAAATAGCTGCGCAATTTGCACTAAGGCTTGTTAAAGACGCGACAGTAGTTTGACAGAATGCTATCGCGTTTTGCTCTTAGATCTGCATAGTGTGAGTGAATACACAAGGTAAAGATCGACATCTGCAACGTATGGCGCCAATGAAGGTGGAAGTGTGTTAGATCTTCGAATAGGAAATTATCTGGTTCTTCACTATTAATACACCCAGTAACGGTTGTGTTCCATTATATTGGGAATGAATACTTGACTTTTCTCGATGCTTTTCTTTCCTATATGGAGCGATTGGGTAGAGCAGTGGCTTTGAAGGCGCTGGGCATATTCTATTTTGGGTAGATAAAGCTATCCGGATTCAGATAAACAATCCCTTTTCCGAAGCTTATCTTCTAATAAGTGGGAGGAGTTCTGATGCAAGACAATAAGACAATATCATTGTCTTAAAATCCAGTTCGATGTAAGTCTTGTCATCGGCTGGTACATCGAGACATCGGTTTTGCTCGAGCATACAATGGGCTCACTAGGAGAGAAGTCAAGAATGCTCTTTGGGGATGATAAAGTTATCAAGCTCACCGGGAGGAAGTAAAAGCGGAGAAGCCAATTAGGCTTAGCTCAAATTATTCTGCCGCCCCGCATAGAAACATAGCATGGTAGTAAAGGCTTCATTTCTCTAAAGTCTAATAATTGCTGAGTCTATTCATCAATTTATCATGGGACTTTTCAGCTCTTCGCAAGCTTCTCTGCCCCCTCCAAAGATTGGCGTAGATGGTGCTCCCATAGCACCGGACCGAAGTCAAAGATCACAATGTTGGGAAGCAAGAGATGCATACTTTAAGTGCCTGGATAAAAATGAAATCATTGATAGCCTCACGGAGAACACCAAAGCCGAAAAGTCTTGCGGAACAGAGGCGAGAGTATTCGAACAAAATTGTGCAACTAGTTGGGTAAGTTTCCTTTTCGCCGCACAAAGATATTCGAACTGCTGTTACGGTATGGCTCATTACCGATTTTCGCCCCCCTCATCAGGTTCAATACTTCAAGAAACGTAGAGTGATGGAATACCAGCGCGAACAAACATTGCAAAAATTGAAGGCTGAAGGGGCGCAAGAGATGCCAGGAGTTATAGGAGCGGGAGCACCTGGTCAAAAACCATAATGACTCTTGGTGGAACAAAATGTACAACAGTATATGGGAAGGAATAATTCGACGGTCTACGGCGTTTGCTAGGAAGTCTACACGAAGTGCCCTACGACCAAACAAAATTACAGTCATGAAAAAGGGACATATTTCGAGGGCCCAGAAGATAATTCTTTGAGTCCAGGTTACAATCAAATGCTCACATTCACACACAGAATCTTCATCGTTGAATAACACGTACAGGAAATTGGAGTTCGCTTCTGGCACTGGAAGATATTTACTCAAGATTCGAGAGAAAAAGTCGCTGTAATATACAAAGCATAACTCGGACATTGAGTTCCAAAAAAAATCGGGTCTCATATTGCTACTCACCAACTGAACTGACGTCACGGATACATGCAACTTCGCTCCAGATAAACAAGTCCTCAAACTCAGGAAGTTCCAATCATCAAGACCATATGCCAGCATCCTAACCCATCATTGACCTCTTCCTCGTAACCTTTATATGGATACGTCAAAATTCTCGTAACCTTCTTGTTCCCAAGTGGGTCATGAAAATCGGTCAACATATATATGGTTGGTCTTCCATTGTCAGTACCCAAAAGAGTCAAAAATGCCTTCTCCTTCGCTGAATTATTGGCATCCATTGCCCAATCACCTGTGTCCGAATCAATATTCAGATTTTGGCTTTTATAGGCATCGGCAATCATTTTCTGGATCCTGGGTTTTGCACATTTTTCTGTACAACTATCTTCAGGCCGCCAACTTTAGTCCCGGCAATTGCTTGAAAGGATTGGTAGGTGATACTGGATGAGGAAAGTTTCTTTGGATCCGTAGGTCCACGGAAATAGTTCCTTGAGTCTACATCGTCGACTACTATGATCCCTTTATCTGCGTTATATCCACCCCAATTAACAATTGAACTTTGAGTATTCGGATTTTCTTCTACACTAAACCAATCTTTTTGTTTTTCTATTAGCGATATAACAACATTTTCTAAATTTGAATCTGAGATAAACATTTACAAGATTCAGAAATTTCGAGGGCCTTTAGGGAACCTATGCATTTCAGTGAATGATGTATCACTCGGGATGTTTAGTTCTGGTTTTGCGAATGTTCCTTCGAGATCCTCGTACACCTTTCTTTCGTTTGTCACCGATACACCTGGTTTGGCGCCTTCAATTTTAAAACCTGCAAGACTACATAGATCATAACCGTCAAAGACATTGGCAACTGACCCGTCACCTTTGATTGGTGATAAATCAGTATTGATTCAGGACAAAGTTGATTTTAAATCAAACTTTTGTGAACGGATCTAGGGAATTTGGTTAAATGAGGAGATGCACAACTCACCAGGTACTGGATCCGTTCCTGCAGGTTGTACTGTCTTGCTAACTGCCTTTTGGGTTATTGCATCGTTGAGGTTGTTCTGGACAGTATCGCCACGTGTTTTGTATTGAGTCTGCGTCAGAATCACATCTGGAGCATCATTCGACGTAGTTGTCACTGGATCTATCGTTGTTGGAGAATCCGGCTTAGCGGGGCTATTCGGTTCGGTTATAGGTTTGGGTTTGGGCTCTGGCTTCACAGTGATGGGCCGCCCACCGGGGATGCGTGGGAAAAGATCTCCCCGACGGGAATTGGTTCTGTCGTCTAGAAATTTGTTTTTATCAACGGAATGTTTGAAATCAAGTGATTAAGAGAAAACGAAATAGTGTGAGCAACTCATCCAGATTCAAGCTTTTGATTTTCTGAATGCTATAGATGCTCGAGAATGTTTTGATCGTTTGCAAAGATCATTCATTCGAAATGAATTATCGAAGGAAGAAGTGCACCAAATGTATCCTTCAACTGGGCCGCAATGCGGATAATTGGACACTCTATACCACGGATTGAAGGAACGTACATATACGATTTGAAGTAGAACAAATCGATGCTAACTCATTGACTTGAGGCAAGGCTCGAGCAGCCACATTGTGGAGTCCAAATGCTACAAAGAGAGCAAGGAAATTCTGAGGAGAGAGAAGCACATTGAATATAGTGAATAGCCCAAGGAAGTTGTCTCAAAATCTTGAGTTATAATGGAATGAACGTAGGACAATGAGGTGGTATAAAGAGTAAAGAAAATGATTTAGTATGAACAGCAAGGAAAAAGATCTTATTTGATATATATATATTGCTGCTCAGACAAATAGGAATAGGATCTCGAACAGCAGTTCTACCCCCTTTTTTGGAAGCCCCGAAGATATCTTCATCTCAACACAATCTCCACAAAGGAATGGTTTAAATTGCCAGGAGGAGTGGCAATCGCCCCTTTAGACGACCCTGCAATTAACAGCTGTCGCCCCAATCCGTGTATATATTAGGTTCCTTCTGAGATACCTGTGTGAGGCACAGTATTACACCTATCTACTCTCGTCGGCTCTACTTTTGGATTGGGCGACTATTTGAACGTTATCATAGGGAGCCTTGGAGACTTGTGTTTCGATTGCTAGTAAGATTTGATGCAAGTTACATGCCAATATTAGTGAGGCGGTCAAATGATGGTTTATCGTTCAATTTGGCGAGCTCTTATAATAAGTATATACAGTTGTTAACAGCCAAGCAGCTCTAGGTCAGATATATCAAGATCTGAGTGTAGAGATTTGTATTAGGAAATTGTGCCTTAACAGATAAATTACTTTCCTCTGGCATTACGAACCATCCAAGCATAATAGAATCAAAACATGACGTCTATAACATGAAGATAAATATATATATTTTTTCAAACCAACGACGTTCTGGCGTCCTCCCTCATTCATCGAACTAGACAAGACATAGCCCATAATATGATCACGAGTTTCCAACTCCAAAATTTGCTCATGATTTCAGATACACCGGTAGAAGCTTGAGGAGCATCCGTCACTTCACCATATTGTGTCTCTATAACTTTCAAACAACTCAAGTGAGTTTCCGCGCTTGTATTGACTGTGTCAATCGTATCATAGAACACAGTAAGAATTGGTGTGATGCCAAGCAATAATCGTGTTACAACTCCATAACCAATTGCGCGGATATATCGGGTACTTTGAACAAGAGATAGATTGTAATCCTTACCCGTGGTTGCAGTACAATTTTGAGAGCTCTGAGAAAATTTCGCTGCACTTGAACCAGTTAGTTCTGTTAAGGGTTTAATTAGCATTCTTTTCATCATTACGGATTCAATGCACTGTTTACGTGCCTCGGACGATGATAGTACCCCAATCATGAGATGCTACTGCATCACAAGAAGCCGTGGCTTGAGATTGCAATGCAGATTGTAGCTCAGCGCAAACATTCAACTCAGTTTGAGTTTCTTTAGATTCCTTCATCAATGACAAAATTTGGGATTGCGATTGGGATAACAGATCATTGACACACAAGCTGGAAAAAGATCATCCTGGCAACTTCCCACAGTTGTGCTTCGATCGAATCCGGGAAACGACAAGTTTGCGGAAATTCCATCGAAAAAGACAGCGCATCCACGCGATGATGAGGTCAAATTTACGACGCTTGGGGGAGTGCCGAGGAAATAGTTACGATCCCATAATGCGCGAGAACTGTTGGCTGGATCGATAATTTCTTGAGTCCCAAGAGTCCAAGTGAATGGAGAAATATCGAGTGATGTGTTGAATGATGTGATGCCAAGTTCGGAGAGAGTGGTATTGCCCACTGTGCAGTGGGCCTGACGATAGGTAGTAGGGCAGCTCACTGCATCGCAGCCGACGAGATCTTGAGCATTCACAATGGAGATAATGAACCCACTGATAGATGTGTATGAAATTATTGATCTGGTCTTGTGGTGCCACATATTTTGTTGTAAAATAAATTTGTGATAAAGTTGGAATCTTGTTGGCATGTAAAGTCTATTGGAAAACTTCAATAATTGTCTCTGAGGTATTTGTGGTTTGAAACAGAAAAAACCTCAACACACTTATACCTATGATAATTTTGAGACTGTTAAAGGAAAGCAATAAACACAGAGAATGGGATGGTTGCAAATGAGTCTTGGGAAGACATGGAGAGGAAGACGCCCAACGCTAGAGGAAAAGCTCGACTCTGTTTGAGTCCTAACAAAAGGGGTATCCTTACCACCCAAATAAAGGAATGCCTGCTACAGACACAAAAAACAAATGTTCGAATTGAACGTTCGAATTGGATTCGACATAGTGAGGTCTAATTTCAGCTTCCTCGGCCCCCAAATTACAATGTTCAGATACGATGACTATGAACGAAGTACCATTGCAGTATCGACGCTGGTAAAACTTTTTGGAGGCCAACTTGAGGCGGCGCAGAAAGTCCTTTCGTGTAATCAAATACAAAACTAGCCACATCTCTGCATTTCCAAGACCGCTACACCGTTACAGATCTCTATATGCGGCTACTTGGTTCCATTTCTTACCACACACTACGACCCCAGGTAGAGAATGGTAGTACGGATATTTCCTTATTTTTCCCTTCATACGGAAATATGCATAATGTAACCGCTGTTCCGAATGCAAATCGGATCGGAAAATATGAGCCTCGCTATCTTTTTCTAAACTTTCATGATTAGATGTTTCGAAATTTTCGGACAATTATCTCGTCTTCTTTTTTTGTCCTGAAGGCAATTTAGATTGAATCCTTCAAGGGAAATGAAGTGACTGGAATATCTTCCAATGTTTGGATACGCAGTAATACGGATGAAAATAGCTTGGGGATCAGAGGTATAAAGTTATACTACTTGTACCCGATAATTCTCAGGAATATCATCTGCACACTCATTATAGATATTCAACACATTCATTTCTCCATCAAAAAGATCAAGAAACTTCAGAAGAGTTAGCAACATTCTCTTAGTCCCGTTTCACCTTCCTTTTTTGACCTAAATTAATTGCAACTCTATTTCCTTCTTCGAAAGATCTCTCAGAAACATATTCCTCCAACATGGCTCAAGTTATTGGACTCCTGTTGGGCGCCATTACCATGATTCCTATGCTCGAATCGTTCATCCCCGACAAAACCGCCCAAACGACCACCATTCGTATCGGTGCTGGAACATCTACAGACAGTAAAGCTAGTACATCTGGCAACACCCCCGGGGTCCGATTGTTTGACGTGGTAGGCCGATCTATCGCACAAAAACCTGGAAGCAGCAATAGAATCGCCGATGGGAGTTTCTCAGATATCAAGCTTGTGGCACCTGATAGTGTTGGTGGGCGTCAAGGACAATACTTATCGGTTGTGTCGGGTGGTAATGATGCGTTGTGTATTTCATACATCGCCGTCACTTGGCCAGATGGAGGTCAGCAGACATGGACGGGAGACATTGGATTTCAATGTGGCGGAGATTGGTATGAATCGCAGACGATTATGGATCTATCGACCGACTACATTCCAAAGTGTATGTGGATTGACAGCGATGGCAGTAATGGTATCAAGTCGAAAGGAATGGGTATACATATTACTGATTCTACGCCTTCCGACGATCGCGCAGCTCAATATCAGAAACATCCGCCGAGTATGTGTGGCAGCCAACCGCGATTTTGGTTGTATGATGATATTGATATGAAGACGGCATGCCATACTTCGACCCTCCACTTCAATACACAACTGGTCTTACAGACATGGACAGATCAAAGGTAGTCGGTGTTCAAGGCAGCAAAACATGCACGAACAAAAAGGTGCGTCGAGGTGGTACTCAGGCTGTTTCCGCAAGACGACTTGAACTTCCCAGTATCAATAACACTACAAGTGTCAACAATATCGGCAATAAATTAAGTTCATTTCTGGGGAAATTGATCACCAGCAACAGCACATCGCATAGTGCGATTCGACTCTGTGATTCCGAAACATCTCTGGGGCCAGACTTTGTCGCGCATCACGAGAACACGTACTGCGATATGATGAACAAGCAGAGCTATCCTCTCTGCGGTCGCGACAACTCTACCACTACGACGGACTGTTTTGATATTATGAGCAAGACATTGGTGCCGTCTGAAGGCTTAAAAAGAAGAGATACTCCCTTACCCACAAAGAAGTATCATACCGTTACTCATTGATAGAAACTTCGTATCGGGTCCTCCTAATTGCGCTTTTAAGCTTTCATTTTCCGTTTCCGTATTGCTCTTTCTCCCTTCCGAGGTCCTTTCCGGTATTTATTCATTCTTTGGGATTCGGTCTGTTTTCTACTCGGTCTTATTCAATTGTGCAGGTAGCACACTATCTATTGTCTTACATACCTAGGTACCTAATCGTATCCAGAATCTCTGAATAAGGACTATGCTCTTCTAGGATGTAATAAATATTTTCTTTATTTCGATCTCGATCTCTTGACTTTTGAAGTACTATAAAACTTTTGGTTGCAATGAAGCTTTCGCAGGATGGAATGATCCTCCACTTCCCTTCAACTGGTATAAACTCGTAAACCTACTCTTACATAATTGCTAGCTAGATAGTGTAAACCAAGAAGATTTGATGACTACGATTGTTTAGTATCTGCCCTGTGTATACCAAAGCTGGTATGGTTGTTTCGCATTTCTACAAGGATATTGGCCACTCGTAAAACGTTTCTGACAGTCGAACCAAGGGGAAATTGCTCTTCATCCAACGGATCAATCTTTTCACTACTGACACTGAAAAGGTACTCCAGAATATGTGGCCACCCGCATTTCATTGCTAAAAGGATTGGAGAACAGTTGTAGTTGATAGGTTTAACGTCTTTGAGGGTCTCGACAGGGCAGCCGGCTTCTACTAGGAGACGCAGAGATAGGAGATCTCCATTTTCAATTGCATATGATAAAGCCGTTCTATTGATGTATTTGTCGGAATGCACCGCATTCTTCAACAGTAGGCTCATGATATGATGCTGGCTCCAAAATGATGCTATAATAATCAGTGCAGTGTTGTATCCTCTGTATCTTGCTAACGAAACACCGTGATTCAAAAGAACATGAACGACATCTTCATGGCCCTTGGAAACGGCAAAAACTATTGCATCCGTATTGTTGTAACGTACACGTATGCCGGTGGCATGGCCATCTCGATTTGCGCCATTTTCAAGTCGCAGCTGAACAACTTTTGAGCGGCCCTTATAAGCGGCACAGTGAATGGGCGACCAATTGGGCATAGTTTTCCAAGTAGCAGATACCGCAAAATTGAGATCTACACCACTTGAAATTATCAACTGTATTGCTTCTTCTTTTTCCCAATATATACTTTGGATAAGCATCTCCTCTCGGATATTTGATGGTAGGTCCGAAGGTAGTGATTCTAAAAATGACTCGGCGAGAATAGAAATCACAGCTATGCTCCCACTTCTAGCTGCTGCGCGAAAAACTTCCTGGATTTCCTCCTCTGGATATGGTAATACGGCATTGTAACGTGGCTTGGTGAGAACTTTAACAGCTTCGAGAAGGCCATTCAATGCTGCTATTCGTAAAGGGCTCCCGAAAGTGCAAATGAACTTCTGCAGGTGCATTGTGAGTCTCTTTGACTGGTGAATTAGATATGGCCGAATTGAACTCAAATCTGCACCACACTCAAGCAGAATTTCAATAATTTCGGTTCTTCCATAACTTGCGGCAAGATGTAAAGGTCGTCCAAAATATATGTTGTCTGAATCGGCATCACCGTTACAATTTTAAAGTAGCTCTCGTACAACGAAAGCATCTCCAGCAATAATAGCTACACTGAGAGTAGTTTGTATGTCTAGCCTTGCTTCGTCATCTTCACCGATGGCAGCGTTACGAAATTGTAATCTCCTTCGGCCACATGCACCTGGATCTCGGTCATCTTTCAAGCCCCACTTTAAGCGTTCTTCTATCGCATGGCAAACCTGGATCTCGAAAGCTATTTGTTTGTCTTTTGTCTGAATGTTGCTACTACGCATTTTCACAGACTGGATAGCATAATAGACAGGAGAGAGTATTATGTGGTGGGGGTTGTATTTGATTTCTAGATGAATGAAGAGATGTGCGATGCCGGGCAATTTGCTGTCAGGATATTTGAGACATAGTTCAAGAGCGTCGTCGACTGGGCCTTTTGAGTTTGCCATATAGTCGAGGCATAAAGTCTTTGTGATTATTGTATTGAAGAGTCCTGACAGTAGATTAATATTGTGGAAAGATCATGGGTGTAAGACATGAACAAGACATACTGCAAAGAACTCGTAAGTTCATGATCTTCCTTACTCCAATAGTTACCAGTATCTGATCAAACATGACTGCTAAAATGTCGTCGGGTAGGTCGACGAGATCCTTTGTGGGTACAGCCATGATGTACTGTTTTTCGATGGTCGCAATTAATTCAAAGCTAACGGTGCTGATAGCGACGCTTGGGGATACTAGTATGGGTTACAATAATCCACCAGATTGCACTTGATCTTTTGCACAATGGAAAGGATTGTTGTTGAAGTTCAAGATTCTGGACGTTGGTGTCCACGGGTGTTGTTGAAGTGTGGCTCAGCCGCATAACATAACGGCCATGGATCAGATCTATCCAGCCCGAAATCGAGGATATAGAAAAACAACTCGACATTCACTTCAAATGTATAGCAAAGTTTCATTACTTCATACTTAACCAGACAAAGACAACTAGTCTTACTAGCCAGGTAAGTATGGCAAACTGAAGAATCGTCATCTTGACTTTCCCTATGCTCACCCACCATGCTCTCGTCTGTTTGGTTAGACCACGTCTTGTTTTAGATCATTCGAATTTCTGAAAGTCAAAGAGAAATGTGTACTTGGCTCCCCATATTGAGTGACTGCAGAAAATTGAAAACTGGATGTTCCTTGAAAGAAACTGCAACCTGGGGGTATTCTGGAGACAGGTTAAAAAGAGTGTACATGCCTCGAGGTAAGTTCAGAACGAAAAGCCAACTATGAACAGAGCATTTGATCGCAATTGGAATCGGTGTGACACTCCTGGGGCTCGTGATGAATTGTCTGGAAAGATCGAAGCAATAACTATAGCCGGCTGGTGCAGCAGTTATGATAGCCAGTCTTCACTCCTCGGTTCATGGAAGAAGATCTGTTACCTGGAAGGAAAACGCCATCCTGCTGCCTCGGTAGTAATACACAGACAGCCCTCGAAGAATCGGCTATGAAAGTACTGCAATAGCGTAAAGCTTTCCATCTCCAGGTTTTGGTGCAGATACAACTAGGAAACGCCTGGGTTTATAAGTTTCCTCTCCGAAGCTAACGCCATCCCCTAGTTGAAAGCAAATTGTTTGTCTTCCTTCTCAATTCCTACTGGTTGCTGTTTATGTTTTATCCATTCTCACCACGAGATGAGGATGTTCAATCAAGCTTGAGTCTTTTCCATGTCATCCCGTTCACTGCCTTTCTTCAAATTTCACCGGGTCAAGAACCCACACCTCAGTAACCTCACTGTATCATCAATGATGGGTGATGATGATAGTCTCTTGAATACTAGGCCAAGATAATTGACAGGGTGCTGAATTCTCATGAAGTTTTCAGCGTGCACAAAGAAAGAGTCTAGTCCTCTCCTATGATTCTCGAACTACCAAAAGCAGACACTTCTCAAATACCTACCTGCTCAATTCTTTACATCGCTATGCAAATGAGAGCGAATTGGGAAGGAGCGAAACGATATAGGCAGATACTGGAACCCATATTTATGATCCCTCAATTCTTTGATTGGTTTGTATACGGCCGAAAGGACTAATTTTGCCATTTAAGCTAGTTCTTAAGGGGTAATTTTGCAGAGTTTGTGTGCTTTTACGGGTGATTGAAATTACTCGTATTTCGATGTACTATTTCATAGTTCTTCTCTAGCTCGAGAAGTGATTAATAACAATTTCATGCATTCCAAGCAGTCCAACGTTGTGGGCGGTTGGAGAGGGAGGGTTGGAAAGAATGAAGAAGAGAGTGGATGAACGACCCAAGAAACCCCTTTCGAAATTGCTCATTGGGGTTATGATATTCCCTTAGCTCTCCCGTTTCTCATACGTTGTCTATTGATCAGAGCAGAATCAGCAGACATCTGTTGCAGATGTGCGAGAGATGATTCCCAAACTCTTCCCCATCGCACCGATGTTTTCCCTTCGCACTTTCCCGAACTTACAAACCCACTTGCCTCCACAGAGATACACCGTACATTCATTATTTAATCTTGATCATACCTATTGGATTCAAGCTGCTGCTTTGATGTCTCCACTGATATTTCCAAATAATCAAACTTAATTCAATAAGCATAAAAATATAGTTCGCTGGAGTAGATGAGGGGTTGCAGAAAAATGGATTTTATCATAATGGATCTGGTTACCATTGGATCAGCCATACTTATTAGGGCTTTGGCGTCGAACTTATAATACAATATATGCCTATTTAGACTAGTACCTTCCTCTATTGCCATTCATTTATCTATGGATACCGAATGGATTGACCGTGGCCAATGGCGAACATCTCATTGGGCCATTAATTTAATCAGGGGCTCTAAGCCCCAATGACTTTCTTCTGGGATGTCATTACCCGTTGGGTGAGATGATCAAGTCCCGTTTGAATGATGCTGTGGAGTCGACTTAAGTAATTCTACCGTGTTAACCCATGGTAAACTGGTATTTTTCACCGTTGCCTACTGCCCATGTGGACGGTGGATGTCACTAATTAAGGTTCATTTGAATTTTAACAGGGCAGTGAGGGAAAAAGCCGAACACTAATAAGATTCTACACTTCGATCGAAATGTGATATCAAAACAATGAATCCATACAACTTCCTAAAATTCCTAGCGATCATTATTTGAAGAAGAACAACTCTTATAATATAATTTAGAAGAATATAAAATATGAAATGAAAACACAGTTCGATTTTGAAAAAGATACATTTTACGATTTTAGGTCAATTTTGCTGCTTTAGTATTAGTTTTCTACTGTCGGTCTCCAGAGTGGGTTCTCGGACAAGAGAACGAACCCCTTGAAGATTAGCTAGTACTTGGTCCTTACAGTCCCTGATAATACTTCGTACATCAGATTCGTATTTCGGACAGAGTCAAAACCCTTGGTTTGAACCTACTGGCCCTTCCCTACGAGCCTAATTCTTAAAACCTGATGAATCCGATGATAATTTCAATGCATATCATTCAGAGCCCATTTCTGATTTCAATTCTTCGGAGAAAGAAGACAATTTTCTCCAACAAAGCTTTGATATTTTGAGCAGGGTTATTTATACTACGAAGGATTTAAGCGTGTTTCGAATGCCCAAACGTTGTGAATAGACTTATATCGTCTGAGATACGGGGCTGAGCAGAAAAGCCACTACGAAGCAGACTTGCACCATGCGAGCCAATGGGCAACCTCGGCAGCTATTTCCTTCTGATTGCTATTTCAAAATTACATGTGTCCCATCAGTGTCAATCTCATCCTCGTTCATGCATTTTTACGGATATTACCCAGAAATCGACCCACGATCTCCATGAAAGGCAAAAGGCACGAGTAGGATATCTCAGAATAAAGTTTGTCCAGAATGGCACTAAGCGAGCTGATGCTTACATGATGCTGGTAATACGAGGTGGCCTATAGAAAGGAGATGTAATTTGCCAATTTCATCTCCAGGAAGTTCGCACTTGTACTCTACGAGTAATTAGTAAATCTTTTACGACTTAAGCCTTTGGTTACTGGTGACTGGTGCCACAGAAAAATGGATTTTATTTTAATGGACATGGTTACCATTGGACCAGTCATACCCCTTAGGGCTCTGGCATCGAATTTATAATACATAATATATACCTATTTAGGCTAACATCTTCCTTTATTACCAAAACCGACTAATGAGCATCCGCGAACCTAAACCTTTCTAAAACCATCTATAAACTACCTAATAAACCACCTAATCCATCAAACTATATATAGATTTTGACCAATCAATCCTGTCCTTCTGATATCTCACTTTTAATTCCCAGTGACCCCTTTTACAAGCATCCAATCTAGGCCCGATTTGTTTATATACAATAAGCAGGCTACAAGGTAATTAGCGTATCTGATATAATCGAGGTATTTCGAATAATTTGATTGGTTGAATTACTGAATGATTTCTAAAACTTATATATAGCTAATTAGAAGCTACGAATATTTTAATCGAACTAATGCTTAACAAATCCCAATCTGAAATTTGAAATACCGAATTTGGAAACTGAATTTTGATCTGTTGAACCGAGCGAAACTAACTGAAAAGTAAATCTTAATCATATCGAAAAAGTAAAGCGAAATCTGAAAGATATAAACATACCGAATTGATTTATTGAATTTGAAATATCGAAAAATTGCTGAAACCGAAAACGGGAATTCCTCCCTATATAGTTTACCAGAAAAATGGATTTTATTTTAATGGATATAGTTACCATTAAACCAGCCATACCTTTTAGAACTCTGATATCGAATTTATAATATATGATATATGCCTATTTAGGCTAGCACCTTCCTCTGCCACACTCTGTAGTGGTATTTCTTTTATTAGGCAGAAGTTTAATAGAATAATAGCGATGTTTTATCGGGTTAGTGATTACCAAGCCAATTTCCTACAGAGTAGGAGCGCAGGCCACTCCTTCAACCAAAAACGGAGCGCTTCGATGGGTTTTCAATGGAGCGCCCTAGCGAGTTTAGGGGTAAAAACCTCAGCAAATAATAGTGGGATGAAATGAAGTTAGTGCAAACACTGTGCCACGAAGGACTGTGCAGTGTGCAAGCTCCTCGGTGAAGTTTCTTAGGGGTTTCCTCAAATAGGTTCAGTTATGGAATTGCATTTGTTGTACAAGGAATCTCACTCAGATATGACAAGGCTGTGAATTTAGCTTTGATTATTCTCTTTTGTCTTTCTCTTTTACTTTCCTTCTTCTGATTCACCTTCTGAGGATATCATAACATTTTGCTATCCAAGATGGCGATACAACTATCCAAAGCAAGATATTCCCTTCAAAACCAAACTACTCGTATCATTAAAATATTCTCTATTATTGTCTTCTTCTACATCTGCACGTATTTTCTTCTACCCCGAATACAATCCACCCCTCTCACCATCACCGAAGAAGATATATCCTTTGAACAGCGCACCGCTCACATCAACAACAACTTCCTTCCCGCCTCCACCTCAGACCAAATATGTGCTTCTCACTCCCTTACATCCTATCCCAATCGTTCGCAAAAACGTAAGATATACGATCTCTTTATGGTCAATTCCGAGCTAGATTGGCTCGAAATCCGTCTCAATGAAATGAACACCGAGGTAGATTATTTTGTCATCCTCGAAGCGCCAACTACCTTCACCGGTCTTGCGAAAAACATGACCTTTCAAGAACATCGAGCCAAATTTTCTGCTTTCGAGGATAAAATCATCTATCACGTTTTGACCGATGCTCCTCCCCCAGTCTCCAACACCACATTACCCGGCTCCAAAGAATACGAAGCGAATGCATGGATCCAAGAGAAATTCCAACGGGACGCCATGTTCACCCAGGTATTTCCCAAGCTGGTGGGCGAACAGAAACCTAACGAAGGAGATGTAATACTTGTTTCCGATATTGACGAGGTAATTCGACCTGCTTCTCTTCAAGTCCTGCGCAACTGTGTTTTCCCCGTGATTCTTACACTGCGCTCGCAATTCTACTACTATTCCTTTCAATTTCGACACCGAGGAGAACAGTGGGCACATCCTCAAGCGACATTCTATCGGGGCCTAGAAAATACTATCAAACCGCATAGTTTACGTAGTCGCCATGGAGGACACGTACAGGTGGATGAAAGAGATAGTAAAAGTATCGGAAATTTGTGGAATGCGGCCTGGCATTGTAGCAGTTGTTTTAGTACGCTCAAAGAGATGAGAAGGAAAATGGAGAGTTTCAGTCATACAAATTTGAACAAGCAGGAGTTCAGAATGACGGATAGGATCGTGGATAGAGTGGGAAGAGGAAAGGATTTGTGGGATAGATTTGGTCAGGTATGTGGACAATGTTTCCTTTCTCCGAGATTTGGGATGGGAAAATGGGTTGCTAGGTGAAATTTTGGAACTATGGTTAAAGATTCAATCCATCTTCATGAATCCAAGAGGTCTCAAGCGAACCTCATCAAATTCACTCACCCTTTCAATTTTCACGTTATTCATCTCCTACCACTAAAGGAGAACTACACTAACCTTCGATCATCAACAGTGGTACAAAAGAATAGACAACAACAACGACATCCCTAGCTATATCAAAGACCACCGATCCAAATTTGGATACATGGTTGATCGCGATGGCGAAGGGGCCGGATTTGTTGATTACGATGAAGTTATTGCGCAAGAAAAAAAGGAAAAAGATTTGATTTGAGAACTTTATGCATAAAGTCTTTAATGTTATAATATGGTATATTTTATGAGGACATTTGCACTAGCATTTACGTCAGGAGTTTGGGTTTTGGATAGATGATTGGTTACATTTCTTGGAGTTTGGAACCAGAGCGCAAGATTCCCTATGTTTGAAGATTTGGTAATGAGATAAGGAAGGAAAAGAAGAAGAGTGAAATTTCACATACTCTAGAAAGGGGCATATTTTGGATTTCTATCACGTCTCTCTAGGGGTCTTTGAGAGAGGGACAGCTGTGGATTTTAATAGAGAGGAGATACTCCAACTGAGAGTATTGTACTATATGCATAATGAGCATACTGCAAACATTCAAACGAAAAATTAGACTTCATCAATTGATCAGGCCAATGTATCCAACCTCCAAGTATTCAGTAATTTCAATGCGCATCCACTAGGACACAACGCGACAGCTTCAAGCGACGATTTTATTCTCTGATGAAGGGGGTATCAAATATTATTTCATGCTATTTTCATGCCATTTCATCCAAAACAAACTCCCATCCCATTATCTATCCCTCCTGAAATAACCAGACTTTTCATTGGGAGACGGAGCTTCCATCACCACAATATATGTATTCAGCACCTTCACCTCTTATAAATCGTCAAACCATCCCATGAAATCCTCTACTCACAATTAAATCTACGCACTATTATTCCCTATTATTCCGCGATTCCATCTCCGCAGCCATTGGTGGTCCAGGTACCATAGGCGGTTCGCGGAGAAGTGATTTTTTCTCCTGACCTAGAACTACTATTGTCGCATATTCATTAGCATATATTCATTCATTCATTCACTCTCTCCCTCTCTCCCTCTCACCCTCTCCCCCTCTCCACCTCTAAATCTCGTAAGAACCAAAATAAATAAACAAAACAACTCACGTCTATCCCAAAGCACCCAGCTAGTAACAAACAATATAGGCAACGCTACAATCGTCATCGTAACTCTCCTCGCTACACTCTGATAATTTCCCGGCAGGGGTTTCTCTCCCTTTCCCCTACCCATCGAGCGCGCGCCAGCGGGCGTGGTCAGTCGCGAGGTTATAGATTGATTTAGAGCTTTCAGAGGGAGCTCAGATTTCGTGGTTTTCGTCGCTGTTCGAGCGGGTTTAGGCTGCGACTGGGAGGGTTTTGATTTAGGAGATTGAGATGGCGGAGGAGAAGAAGATTCACGAGTAGATGCAGAACGTATACTTTGAATACGCTGGACCTGTGCGAGAATCGGCGAAGCTCCCATCGTGTTTGCGTTTGCGATCAGCGAAGATCGATTCCCTGAGCTTGGGATACCCGACATATTCGGATCCAATGAATCTCTCAATTCGTCCAGTTGCACGTCGCTTTCGCTATCGCTGCTGGCTGGTATGGCGACAATCGCAGTAGATGTCGCAGGTATGGCAATATTTTTTGGTTCCTCAGTCGTAGTAGGCGTAGACGCAATCGCGGCTACAAGGGCAGATGTGCCGATTTTCGATTTCGTCGATGGAGATGCTTTCCTCTTACTCACTCTTCGTATTGCCCATGTACTATTAATCCCAAATTTCAAGCCTTCAGATTTCTCGTCTTTCGAAGTCGAAATTTCAGATAGCGAAAATGATGCTGATATATCAAGAATGAATTTCTTAGGCCTTGCTGTTTTTTTGGTGATAGTTTCAGTGTTAATAGCCGCCATTATTGATTGATACGGGCGGGGCAGGGTTGTAAAGATTCACGTCGGCAAACGCAAATGCGTTTTTGGGATTTTCATTTTGAGTTTGTTTTATTTACTTTTTATTCAAACTTTTTGTTATTCTTTCTTTTTTCCTTCTCTTTGTGTTCAATACGATGCTCAACGAAGGATTTGGATCGTTATTTGAATATTCGGATGAATGTTTCGAGGTGTTTAATGCAGGGTGTATAGTGGATGATATTATTATATCTGCCATGAATCTCTATGAAACATATAATTCGAAGATCTCAGGGAAATAGCATCTCTAAGTTGAATTCTGTTTCAGGCGAAGGGAATTGTCATGGTTCTGCTATGTTTCCTTGAAGCTATTCGCACCATTTATACAATTTCCAAACTCCAATATATGCGCAGGAGAATCACAATAAATCACACACATATTACTGAGATAAGCAGCGTAATTTCATTCATTCGTGTATCTATCTACCATCATTGGCACCTATCATTTCTATACAATCCAGTTTTCCTCCTCTCCCATCTTTGGCTCCTTTGAAACTCCACTGCTTATAAATACAATTAAGTTAGGATATCAATACCGAACGCCTGATCCAATGCCATTTTGACATTACCCATCATTAACAGCTCATTGCTTCCTCCTTGTTACCATCCACGTTTAAACCATACTCTTCTCATTCAAGTCATTACGTTCATGATTCGTCGCTTCCTGAATCGCTGCTGCATGATTTGCTTCCGCCATGTCTCTCCTAACTGGACTGTTCGCCCTAGAGTTTGCTCTGGAGTTTACCCTGCTGTTTGGATTACTCTTCTCATGTGTACTATGCGGTCTGCTTCCCGTATTTTGTCTTACTCTAAGATCTTGTTGACTGCGAGCGAAACTTCTTGCTCTTGCTCCGGTTGGCATTCTTGATAGATGAGTCCCATCTACCGCTCCTGATCCTTCACCGACATGAGTTCCTTTCTCATGAACGATTTCGTTGTGGGCAGCTTTGGCGTCAGATAGTTGTTGGGCGAAGGGTGAGCGTTTGCGGAGAACAGGTCCTTTCCAATAAATGACATAAACGGCGATCACGAGGACGAAGGAGATACATGCAAGAATGGTAGAGGCGTAAGCAAGCGAGCGAGATGGGTCAGATGACATGTCTAGGATTTTGTGTTAGCATTCTCTGGCAAGAGTCATTAGAAAAGGAATACATACTCTGGAAGAAAGGAGTAGCAGGAATTGTCAAAACACCGGCTAAGAAATCTCTCGACCATCCATTTCCACCTGTAGCAGAAGCTGAATATGGTCCATAGGCACAAATCATATAATCAATTGTCGCCATGTAAATACTATAGTTGGCAATGCCGACAATCGCTGCGAAAATCGAGGAACCGATCCAATGAATTGGTGGGCCTGTAGAAGTCCAGGCAAAACCAATAAGACCAATTGGCAAGCATGGTGCCGTGTAGAGCAAGAACCAAAGTCTAGATTCGAATTGAGCGTGTTCATCATCTGGTTTGTTGGCGCGTTGTTTGATATTGCGTTTGATGGCAGGAATGAATGCAAACCAAGCAATGAAGTATCCCACAAGAATAGGAAGGAAAGAGAGACCAAGTTCGACAGTTCCAAAACCCCATTGTTTGTACACAAGAGAAAAGGATTGGATGAACATGAAGATGAGTGCATCAGAGAATCCAGACAACAAACTCAAGGTCAAAACAATTGGCTCTGTCAAGAACATCTTGAAAGGTCTGACGAAAGTAACCAAGGTCTCTTTAATGGAGAATCGTTCCTTGAATGGCGTGATCTCGTTGGGACCGTAAATGTTTGGGTTTTCACCACTCTTTCGCATCTTCTTGGCGATTTGATCCATCATGATGGTCGATCTGGTCTCAGGTACAAGAGCCAAATGAAGGAGTTGTACAGCACCGCCAAAGATAAGTTGAATCCAGATATTCCATCTCCAAGCCAAATTAGCTTCGACGAAACCACCAACAACGGGACCCAAAACACTTCCACCAACAGATGAGAATACTACAAATGCGACGGCGTATTGTTGATCATCTGATTCCCACATGTCGGCAATCATACCCAGAGTAACGGAACCACCTGCTGATGAGAGACCACCAAGCGCACGGCCAACCATGATAGTGGCAAAATTTGGAGCAATTCCAACAGGAATTTGCCAGATGTTGACCAAGAACAGAGAAGCTTGTAAAATAGGTTTGCGACCCAATTCTTCAGACCATGGAGCCCATAGTTCACAACCGAATGCATACAGCACCAAGAAAATCATAGCACCAGCTCTTGCACCTTGTGCGCTGACGCCAAATTCGTCAACGATACCACCAATGGCGTTTGAGTATAAACTGGTATTGAAGTTCATGGAAACCTGAACCATAAAAATAACCGACAGAATCATCCATTTCTTCCAGGTAGGAAAAGAGTATCCCAATTGACCCCAACAATCTTCTTCGCTAATTTCGATCTTGTCGGACTCTCTGACATTCGTTACTGCATTTTCATTGTCGCCAGATGGGAAACGTGCTACACGATTTGCGCGGGGTGGTTGAGTACCAGGATTTTCAAGGTGAGATCCTGCACCGGTTGATGCGCCATGTTTGGATGATTGTGAAGATAAATCAGACTCCTGGAATATGGCCTTTCCTTCACTGGAGGTGGGTGTATGAATACCACCCGCCATTTAATTTTGTATTATTTGATACTGTTCGATTGATCGTTAGTCTCCTGGTGTGATTTTTCTCTTGTGATATTGAAGACTGGAAATGTAAGATTGCGTAAGAGGTACGAAAGGATATTGGAAAGAAACTTCTGAAGGAATTCTGGTTCTTGTATGAGGAATATATATGTTCAGGCGAAATACATACTTTCTTGATAAAAAAGATTATCGATCGATAAGATGAATACTAAAAACAGGGCTAGAACTAGTAGTCAAAGCAGTGAATCTAAGAGCTTCTAGGACTCTTCGTTTCCCCCGCACTCTAGACCTTGTATCAAAAACCCTAATGAGAATTACTCGTATAGAAATGTCCGAGAAGAAAAGCAAAACTTAGTTGACCTTTCTCAATAATAGTTCAAGAGGATATCAAATTATCACATTAAGAAGAATGGAAGAACTTGAAGCTCGATAAAGGAGATGCAGAAGATGAAGTAGTAGTGAATTCGTTCAATGTATCTAATATCAATTCATGGTTTCCCGCTTGGTACGTCATTTTTGGATTTTATATGCAGGGCCCCTTCAATGTGACTTCCCAACTTTTTTTGTTGGAGTCCCCCCGGGGGTAGGATCGACCCCATCATCTTGTTTTGGGAGTGACAACCAATCAAGTTGTGGAACTTCTCCTGCCAAATTTAATAGGGCTAAAAGTTTTATACGAGTATTCTTTATCATACGAGTACATCGTAGTTTGAGTTTTAGTCAATAGTTCGTGTCAGACATACCTAGAGTTAGAACTAGAAGCAACCAAGATTGATAGAGAGTGTGAATAGAGTGGCTGCTCTACTTACTCGCACGAATAACAGAGCGAGCAGAGCGAGTAAAGCGAGGTTGTAGTAGAATATCATCCGTAGAAGAAAAAAGGACGTTAAATTCAACGTGTAAAAACAATTTGATTTACTTCAAGGACCTACAACACTGAAACATGCTTAGATTTAGGATTATCGCCCCAGAATGATCTTACGAGTCAGACGAATTTCTGATGGACTGTCTGATTTGAGAATGCGGAAATAGCGGCATGATTACTCGAGCATAGGATTTGTGTTTTGAGTGAGACGTTGATGGATCGCAAGAATCGCTCCGGATCGCTAAGCACCTCCCCATGCAATCCTCCAAGCATTGCGCTTCGTTTATAAGTTTCCCCCTCAACACCGACGTTGATCTGCACCTGCATCTTTGAATGACGTCGCCCAGTTTTCACCGTGCGGGAAAAGTATATTTCCGGGTATATCTCTGAGGCGATATGGATTCGTGATATTGTCGTCTGTCGGATCTCCAGAGATTATAAGAAATTGATATTAAAATCTAGATTAGATGTGACTTCAGTAAATCTATCAAAACTTCTTTGATATTAGATGAGCCTCATGTTCGGCATTCATTCAATCAAGCATCTTTGCCAATAAATGAAGAAGCTTTCCTGAGAGTGTATATACCAATGCTTATGGGACTGGGTTGCCACTATCACGGTGGCTCAGATAAGCGCAACACTTGGCAACTGAGGCAGATTTGCCAAAGAGCAGTCTAGCACTCGGATTGACTTTGAGATTTCGGCACAACGCAACCAGTCTCTTTCAATGATACGGAAATTTATTTTATGTCTCAAAAAAAAGATACATGCCAATTAATCAACTACTGACCGTCGTTACAATGTACCATGCTCACGATTATGCATCACAAAACAAAGAGGATTCGGGCGCCTATCTGGAGACCGGGGTTAAGCCCGTCGTCTATCGTAATTTTCATCATCGTGCAGAAACAGGTTCAAGACGTTGAAATTGCCCGTTGTGTTCCAGCATCAGCAAAAGCAATATAGTGGAGAGGCGGAGGCGGGGGAAATCCGGAGGCGCCAGGTGGTAGATTGATCCAGGTTATTCAGATCATCATGAACTACTTCCACAAATTGGCCGAGTACTGACCGTGGCGGTAACAGAATAGCATCGGTTGATGGGAGAGATAATCAGAGATGCTTCAGTAACCCGAGCCGACTAATAATTAGATGGTTGTTAGTTGATCATGTGCTCGAATACTAATTGAAGGTTAAAAGCAATTCTACACACAGTACTCAGAAGACTAGTATAGTGAGTATGAACCTACCCAAGTAGTGAAATTCATACAGCTTTACTCATACCATCGATGGTCAATAATGAACGTCCACCTCTACTAACCCTAGGTAGACAAGAAATCCGCTGCCAGCACATCAAATAATTTTAGAACCTTAACTTTTGTTCTGCACTGTTTCCATCTAGACATACAAACTATTTTCGTACT